AGTATCTTGCAGGAGGAATTGAAATTAGAAGAAGAAAACCATCAAGATTAGAACAGTTAACAAACAGTATCCACTTTAAAAATTTCAGCAGGCCTTCTCCCCATACAGTTTTTGCAGTGTGATGATAGGCTGAATCCACAATTTTTCAATCCTTGTGTCATGACAGGAGAAATTTTGCTAATTAGCCAACAGGTATATCAAATTAGAACCAACAGGTATATCAAGTTAGAAAATAAACAGGAAGAAGGTTTCAAATCATAAATCCAATGCTTCTATGTCTGTATCAGCCATTTTTATTTGGCAATGAGATCAATAATGAAAAAAATATATAAAGCTAAATTAAGCTTCTATATGTCCCTGTTTTCCCATGTAAAAGTAAAAGATAAGTTAAAAATGGATAGATTTAACTGCTCATGATTAATTTTGCTAGGATAAGAAGTCATAACATGGTCCTTACAATTTGACAAGTTAAAGGCTGACATTAACTGCAACATTCAGTGCCGAGATCTGTAAAGCATCATCTTATAATGGGATGAGAGCTTTTGATATTTAAGGGATATATCATTCCTGTGTAATCTGCAATTCTTTTCGATTCCATAATATGTTGTAAAACTTTAAGTTCAACTTCCTGAAAATTTCATTAAAAACCCCCCCAAGCTTCTAGTCCATATAGACTGTAGCTGTACCAATTTATTAAAATATTCTCAATGCAAAATCTAAATGCAAAATCTGTAAATGCTACATATTGTCCCTGAACTAACTCCTTGACTAATGGATGCATCATCAAGGTCACACACACACACACACACACAATCTTTATTTCTGAAGATAATGATCATTTTTCTGCTGAGATACTTGTGAACATTTGCTCCTTGACCTAGTAGATCAGGGGTCCCAAATCCCCGATCTGTGGACTGGCACCAGTCTGCAGCATGCCAGAAACTGGTATGCGCAAACAAGCAATGCCCCATCTGTGGGATGCAGACAGCACACAAAACTATGCCCCCTTGGATCTGCAGAAAAATCCCTCCCCATGGAACCAGTCCCTTGTGCCCAAAAGGTTGTGGGCAGCTATAATGGATGATTTGGTTCCCGCAATCTGCTAAGATGTTGAATTAAATCATCATTTAGTTGGCTTTGTCTGATCCAATCAACCATAAAATACGCAGTTCAGAGATACATTGTACCTTTTTATGGTGTTTGCAAGTTGCATTCCCCAAAAGCAGCATATTGGATCAGGAGGGAATACATTTCATTCCATTTGCATAAATATTAGTGAAATATTAGCATTTGGTACCAGTTTCTGTGATACCAGGAACTGTGCCCAACTACCAGATGAACCTAGATTTCTGAATGGACAACTTCACCATAAATATGGTTTACACCAAAATGATATCTGCACAGGATGTTTAGACAAAGCCAACTCCCTTATGACTTCTAATTGCTGTTGTAACTGTAGATACCGACATCTACACAGACACCAAAACTCCAAATTCTCATCAACAGTCAAGCTGCTAGGAATATCTAAAAATTAACATCAATGATCTAGGGCACTTTGGTCAAGAAAAAACTAGCGTAGAAGGAACCAGTGGCTTCTCCATCTTGCACAACAGAACACACACAATGTTTTCCAGCTCCATTTAGAAGAACATCGGTAATAAATAGATTCATTTGATGTCTCTTTTATTTCAATGAAAGACCTACTTGCCAGTGGGGTCGGGTGGGGGAGCTGAACAAAATCTGAAAGGAACCCTTTAAATCAGGCATCCTCTGTTGAAAGCACTCTGGCTGATTTCTGGGTAAGAAAGCTGCCTATGAATAAGAAGACCTAAAGCATGCCTGTCATTGTACTCCTCATTTAAATTACAGTAATTATTTCTAAATTTGTATCTACTGTATGTATAAATTATCACATGCAAATTTCCTGTAAAACCGGAATTCATCTACTTTGGCTGATGTATGTCTGCTTTTTTTAGTCCAACCTATCAAGTGGTAGTGAATTGCAGTGCTGGAGGGATACAGAAACTTCTGCACATCTTTGGCAAGTGCCAAGTGGTGCTCAGCGAATACACCTGATTCCTCAAGCCTTGCTGATCAAAAACAAAGCAAAGCTACATTTGAATCTCACCACTATATGTCATTTTAAAAACAAGTTTGCTATTAAAAAAATCTTTATAATTTTAATCCATCAGCCTTCAAACTTTTACACTTCTAGAGAGATCCAATTTTATGCAAGTATACAAGTGGACAATAAAGGTTTCCAAAGTAAAGAAAAATAATTGGCTGAACTTGGAAATTCTAACTGAAAACCAATAAATATATGGTTAAAGAAGCTGTTAATATCTCAAGGTCTGACATTTCTTCTGTGACATTTTAAAACTCAAAAAAGACATAAAAAGTGAGTCAATGAAATTTTAAACTTCAAAGATGCAAAGAGCCAAGATGCTTCAAGAAAAATAAATGCCTGCAGGATGAAGTGCTCTTTAAAATTGGTATCAAGCTGATTTATATAAAAAAATACCTTTAAAAGCCTTTTTTTCTGATTAGCATCCCAGCCATTACCAACAGCAAGCTAAAGGGAAGTTCTTACACCTGATCATCTGTGCAGAGGGCAAAAGGAATGTATGGGTGGGTTGAATGACCTAGAGGGTAAATTTTTAAGGTCACATTCCACAGCCAGGAAAATAAAGGAGTGATTTAGGCAAAGGACAGATCGTAAGAGCCAGTTTAGTAGTGCTTAAGGCACAATACATCAAATGCTAGAAGTCCATAACCCTAGGAAGAAGGCAATGGCAGAACATTACCAAAATTCTGGCTAAGAAAATTGCTAGCACTAGCCCAGGCAGTTGCCAGGAGACCAACCAACCCAGAACATAGTTGGCATGCAGTCAAATAAATCATTGTAGCAGGAATCTCTAGAAGACACTATGCTGTAAAAAAATGGCTATATGAAAAACAGTTATTTTCATATATATCAGGAACCATTGCTTTGAAAGTTTCAGAAACCTGGGAGTTATTGCTCAACAGATCTGAAAGCTTACTATGTTGGAGAAGGCTTATCCGAGAAATGTTTATGGATTGATGCTGTAGGCCATTGTCTTCATTAGTTTCTACTGATGAAGAGAATGGCCTTTTTGTATGTGTCACCTCTGTCCTGCTACTTTGCTAGTGTCCTTTCCCATTAGCCCTATACAGGGAAGAGCCGAGGTGGCGCAGTGGTTAAATGCAGCACTGCAGGCTACTTCAGCTGACTGCAGTT